GACCCAACTCTAAGTACACTGCCTTTTTAAGTAGATCAGCAAGTTGAGATAGCAGCTGCTGCCAGCTCCCTCCGTCCTGAGCCCTGTCATGTTCCCCTTCCCCCCGCTCTGTGGAGATGGGGTACAGGATCGGGGGAGGGGGACACGTTGACATTAGCACCCCTCTCTCCCCCCACCTCTGCACAGCAAGCAGGAGTCTCTGGGAGCAGCTCCAAGGCAGAGGCCAGGAGCAGCACACGGCAGTGTGGGGAGGGACAGCTGAACTGCCCAGCAATTGATAGCCTGCTGGGTGGCTGCCACACAAGGAACTTAGGGGATCTGAAGGGGGGGCTGCCGGCCCACTCTGGTTCCAGGCCCCCACCAGCTCCAATGGCTACTCTTTCTGCAAGCAGTGGACAAACAACGTTATAATGGAGTATTGGGCAACTTTAAACAAGCATGTTCGCTAATTGATCATTAACATAACAATGAAACAACTTAACCAGGACAAAGTTAAGTGAGGAGTTACTGTGGGCATCAACGATTTCACAGGATAGATACACACCATAAAAACTTTGTGTAGGGCAGAGAAAAGATTTTTTAAAAGACATTTGCTAATTCCCACATAGTGATTTTTTTATTGTACCATTTGCATCACCCTGGTCTCTCAGCTCCCCCAGGTGAGTTGCTTGCTTTTCCTTTAGCAGGTCGCCCTTCTCTGGAGTGAATCCTTTGGTCCTTTCTACCAACTCCTTTCTAATGTGAGTCATCATGGGCGTGTGTCTCTCCTGCCAGGAGTGTCCATCAGCCCCAGGGGTGGAAAATAGGGGTGATCTCAAGTAGCTAAACTGAGCAAAAATCGTTCTGGGATTTGCCCCCTCTAGGATTTTCCATGGAGTCAGCCTGCTGGAGGTAGCTATCCTAATGTAAACACCCTGCTAGATGTGCCGTGCTGACATAGCCCAGGCACAGGGGTTGGGGTTAGCTAGCACCTTCCCCTTTGAACTGTCCTAATTCACACCCATTTTCCTGCTCTAGCCAAGCCCTGAGCAGCACATTTATAATGTCACCGCACTAGCAGAGTGATTGTTAGAGTCACCAAGTTCCCCCTTTGGCGACAGATTGTCTCATTCCCAGATGTTCTCACAATGGTCCAGGTTGTGCTGGGCAGCAGGTATTTTTCATTTTACCACTTTCCTTATTGAAAATCTATTTCAATATAACAAAGAGGAGTAGCAGGAGTGGGACAAATGTATCATTTCAGCCTCTGCGACACCGGAAGGAAATGGGTTGAGTCGCCGGGATTACCTCCTTCCCCATCGCCGTCACTAGGCCCGCTCACTCCAGCAGCGTTGGCGTCTGTCTGAGCCACAATGGAGTTTATCCACCTCTGTTCTACGCCTCCACCTCCCAAAGAGTGTCTGCAGTTCATAGCAAATTGATCCTAAATCCGTTAGGACTGAGATGAAAGTGTCCCAGACCTGGATGGGAAATTTCAGTGGATCCCAAACACAGTGTGATCATTCCGAGACTAAATCCCAGTTTATCTCTATTGACAGAGCCACTTCTGGACTTTTCCCTGCGGAGCTGAGATTGTTTGCAGATGAGAAGGTCGGCAGTTTCCCTATTATGATGAAGCTTTTTTTTTTTTTTTTTTTTTTAAATTTAGCACGACTCCATAATAATGAACTGCTGTTGAGTGAAGCAGGTTTGAATGGATCAGAGGAGAAGGCGACGGGGGAATCTGCTCTCCTGATTTTTGAGTCATCAGATGTAACCTGCTCTGGAATTTCATTTTATATGAAAGAGAAAGTGACTTATACCGCTTTGTTGCGGGTTTTTCTCTCTCTCCTGAAGGCCATTTGGTCACATAATTGAATATTAGTTCAAAGAACCTAAGCAATCAGATCCATACCATTAAAATTCTGTGTATTAAGGTCTGTATCTGTATTAAGGTATTTGTCCTTGGAAGCCACTGGGAGAAGGTTAGCCACATACTGGTGAGATCTAAGATAGAAGCTCTGAAGTTGTGGCTTAAATGTGAACAATATATTGGGCTTAGTGTTGATATATTCAAGTGGCTGAGTGTGGATCGCACGGCCTGAGTGAAGTTCTCTGACTGGGATTAATAACTAAGTGGACAGCTGCCTCCTCGGTTCCTGTTTCAGGATTTAACAAGGATTCATTTTCTGCTGTATTGTGATAATTTGGCTAAAGTGAAGACTTGATTCCAAAGCAAGATCGTTGTTTACTGACTGATTTTTTGATCTGACCTGTACGTGATCACTGTATTGTGTACTCGAGAGCTAGCTGGGTGGTGTCACAAATAAATTAGCTTTAGTGAGGTGTGTTCTTCATTTTATTTGTTTCTTCATTTTAATGAAATGTATAAAAGGGATATTGAGTCATGTCTTTCAATAAGCTACATGGGCGAGAATCGTGGAGTATCTGGGTGGAGGTCAGCTGGTGTAACTTGGAGCCTTATCAGCTCCCTCTACATTAACCCTTTGGTTCTCATATGGGAGCAGCTGGGGGAGGGGGCACCCATCTCAGCTCTGGCTGCATCCTAGGGGCCTCAGAGCATCGCAAAGGAAAATGAGCTCCCCTGTGCAGGCTTTCAGGAGCATGGAGGGGGGTAGGGGAGGTGAGCCAGGGCAGTGCGTCTCCCTGATGAGAGATTGATGGAAGGGTGGGGTATCTCTAAATATGTAGTAGTGGTGGATTTCTCTGCTGTCACTGTCATGGCCAGACCCTGCCGCCACACCGGTCTGGCTTTCCCTGGGCTTGTGTCTGATCAGGCTGAGGTGAGGTTGGGGGTCTGGTTTGAAAGGTTATAAATGGAGGTGAAAGGGGCCAAGCAAGCCAGAAATGTACTGGGATGGTTCCGGCTTTCTTGGCCCCTGTCCCCAGCATCCGGCCTGGTTGGGGAGCAGAGGGGGTGGGCTGCCGCTGCCTCCTCCCATCTGGGTGCTCTCGCAAGCAGCTTCTGCTGTGCAACCTGGAGTTAGGGTTGCCAGGCGTTCCGTTTTTCACAGGAATGCTTGGACAAAAAGGAACCCTGGTGGCTCCGGTCAGCATCGCTGACTGAGCCGTTAAAAGTCCAGTCAACGGTGCAGCTGGGCTAAAGCAGGCTCCCTGCCTACCCTGGCTCCGTGTGGATCCCGTAGTGGCTGCATGTCCCTGCAACCCCTAGGCATAGGAGCGATTAGAGAAGCTCCATGCGCTGGCTCCACAACTCCCATTGGCTGGGAACTGCGGCCAATGGGGGTGGTGCCTGTGGGCATAGGCAGTGCCCACGGTGCAGAGCCGCCTAGACGAACTTCTGCCTACGGGCCGGACATGCCAGCTGCTTCCAGGAGCAGTGCGGAGCCAGGGTAGGGAGGGAGTCTGCCTTAGCCCCGCTGCGCCACCATCTGGGAGCTACATGAGGTATGCGCCAACCGGCCGCAGTCATACCCTGAACTCCCTGTCCCAGGTCAGAACCCCCTCCCACGCCCCATCTCCCTCCTAGAGCCAGCACCCCAACCCTGTGCCCCATCCTTGAGCCCCCTCCTGTACGCCAAGCCCCTCATCCCCTGCCCCTCTCGAGAGCCTGCAACCCAGCTGTGGCCAACACCCCCTCCCACACTCCAACCTCCCGCTCCAGCCCAGTGAAAGTGAGTTAGGGTCAGGAAAAGAGAGCGACTGAAGGAGGGGGGGCTGGAGTGAGGGGGCGGGGCCTCGTGGAAGGGTCGGGGTGGGGCAAGGGTGTTCGGTTTTGTGCAATTAGAAAGTTGGCAACCCTGCGCCGAGTGGCCACCCTCAGCCGGCATGAGAAGCGGATCTGTCTTGCCCCCTTCCCCAGCTGAGGTGACCGCGAGATTGCTGGAGTTCCAAGCAGACACTGTGGTGCTCTGAGTCTCCCGGGGGCAGGGCCAGCCCAGAGACGTGTTCCCAGCTCCTGTGGCCCCAGCCCCCCAGGAGCCAGCGGTATTGGTTGCCCTGGCCAGGGACGTGGGGCTGGAAGGTTCCTTCCAGAGGCAACATGTGGGGTAGTCATGTGCCCTCCCCCCCCCCCAAGTTTACATTGTGCCCTTCCTGTATCAGTACGTACAAATCGTCTCTGCTGGGAGGGGTAGCTTGTCCCCCACTGTACCATTATTTGGAAGGGGGTGTCCTGACTCCATGGCAGATGACTGCTCTCCCTCCCCTGCCACTGGAGGGAGGGGAAACCCTTTACCCATGTCTTCAGCTCTCCTCCTTCCTCAGCTGCAGGAGATCTCTAGGCTGTGTTAAAAACACTGGGTGGCAGTTCTGGCCAGCGGGTGGTTGGAGCTGGCCGTGCTGGCTGCAGAGTCCTGCTGTAACCTCACTGTCACCGTTCAGGGCAACTGCACCTGGATTCCCCCACCGTGGTCAACCAGCAAAACCCTCCCTTAGGGCAGGTCTTCACGACATGGGGGGGTCGATTTAAGATACGCAAATTCAGCTACGCGAATAGCGTAACTGAATTCGACGTATCGCAGCCGACTTACCCCGCTGTAGGGATAGCGGCAAAATCGACCTCTGCGGCTTCCCGTTGACGGCGCTTACTCCCACCTCCGCTGGTGGAGTAAGAGCGTCGATTCGGGGATCGATTGTCGCGTCCCATCGGTCGATCCCTGAGATGTCGATTTCTACCTGCCGATTCAGGCGGGTAGTGTAGACCTAGTCTCAGACTTCCCAACCATCACCTCTTGGGCAGAGACACGTGTCTCTCCCTCTCCTGGTGCTTTTCAAAATCCAATCTCGTGGGCTTCCTGGGAGGATGCTCAATGATGAAGGAGAAGGGTGGGGGGGAATCCCAGAGAGAAAGACCCACATCAGCACAGACTGAACGGTGAGGAAATGGGGTGGGGGAAGCAGACAGAGGTTACAGAGAAGCCTATTTACACACAACAGGGACACTGTCTCTTACAGAGGGCAGGAGGCAAGTGCAGCATGTTTAGGATGGTGGTGGAAAGAAAAAAGGTTGGATTCAAGATGAGACCAAAGGAGGGGAAGGTGAATGGCAGCTCCACACAGGACTACGGCGCTCTAACACCGCAGTTCTGGGCACCCTGGACAGTCCTAGCTAGAGAGAACAGGCAAACAGGGACCCATCCCCCTGCAATGAACCTTTCCTGGCAGAATGCAGAACCTCTTCTGCCCCATGCAGAAGTAGGAGCTGTATTGGGAGTGGGGGGCCCTCGGGACAGAGGGCAGCTGAAGTCCCTCAAATGTAGGCGAACTAGGCACTGCAGAATGAAAGGGCTTCACCCCCCTCACAGCTGGGACCGAGGGGCAGCAACAGCTGTTAGGGTCTGCGACCAGGATTGGGGAAAAGACAAGCAGATGGGTCAGATCCCCAGCTGATGTTAATCATCCTGCTTCCGTTGGAGTAAATGGGTCAGATCCTCAGCCGATGTGAACTTCTTTTACTCCAGTGGTGACAACTTCTCTATTTTCCTCATGTCGCATTTAACCAGCTAATTTCCCTGTTCGGGCTAAACTTTTTGTCATCTAGGTGGTTGTTACATTCCCCTCTGGTGTTATCTAGACTGGTGATCTGCTAGGTCACTCCAATCCTTGACTCTGGGAGCCAGCCTTACCCTGCTCTGCTGTGAGAACCCCCACTCCTGGGCTGTTCACGCACAGCCTCACACACAGGCATGTAAGCTGCTCCCAGGTACTTGCAAGTGAATAACACAACCCTAGGAACCTCCGGCTTGCAGTTATGCCCGCTGGACGCTGCAAGCATATATGAGTTCGTCAATTTAACAAAGAACTTGATATTTACCGGGCTTGTTATCCCAAGGGGAGCCTCTGACACACTTCAAACCAAATGCACTGCTTCAGGTAGAATAAACAAATTTATTAGCTATAAAGAGAGATTTTATGTGATTATAAGTCAAAGCATAACCAGTCAGATTTGGTCGAATGAAATAAAAGCAAAATCATTCTAAGCTGATCTTAACACTTTCAATGTCCTTACAAACTTAGATGTTTCTCACCACAGCCAGGCTCTCCCCTTTGATCAGAGCTTCAGTCGCTTGGTGGTGGTGGTGGTGTCTGTAGATGTAGGTGGAAAAGAGAGAGAGAGAGCAAAATGTCTCTCCCTTTTATCATGTCCTTTCTTTCCTTTTGGCTTT